ATCATCTTGAAGAGTCTGCAGCTTTGCAAAGACTTCAGCGATCTGAGTGGTATGGTCCTCAAGATTCCGGACCTGAACAAAGGTTGTACGTATGGACTGCAACTGTTCCCCACACTGCACTTCAGTCAGTGAGGGGACAGTCTCTAGGACGACCACTTGCCTTCTCAGCAGGGTCTCCTTCGTTTCCTTCTCCGACTCCTGTTCTCTTTTGATTGCACTGTCTAAGAGTGCTTGCAGATAAGGTTTCTCAGCATCACTGGCTGCATCTAACAAGGCCCGCCATTGGGTCGAAGTTAGCTGCGACCATTTTCGGANGTCTAAGAGTGCTTGCAGATAAGGTTTCTCAGCATCACTGGCTGCATCTAACAAGGCCCGCCATTGGGTCGAAGTTAGCTGCGACCATTTTCGGACTGTCAGTATGGACAGGTGGGTCGGAAAGTCGCCAGTCAGCAAAAAAATCAATCAGACTCTCAAGAGGTTCACTCCCCCTCGCGCTTTGACGAACACTCCTTTTCCCAGTTCTTGCCCACTTCAGACTATCGTTTTCCCTCTCTCCCTGTTCTCTCTCCCTCCTCTCTCTCTCTTCTTTCAGATTGCGAGTCTCCACGGGTATCGGAAATGAACTGAGAAAAACAGATAAAGCTCAGAGAAGAGAAGGTAGAACTCCTATCCGGAGCGGCATTTCATTTGGAAGTAGAGAGCAACAAAAGAAACAAAACAATCTCAATGAGAGGTCTGATCCAGCGACCCAGTCTGATCAGACTGCATACGAGGTCCTCTCGAGTCCAGTCTGACCAGCTCCGTGTCCGTACAACAAATCAGACAACGAGTAACTAAATGCAACAATGAAGAATTGAGTGGTGTACAGGGTGCGAGTCAAGCCACGGACAGTGCAATCAAAAGACATGCGAAACGTCAAAGCCAAGATCCCCTCGGCAGTGGGTGTCCTAATCCAAGAAGAATGAACTCGTATCCCAGCCAAGAAGACAGGAGGTCAATGCCTAACCGATTTGGGTCCAGAGGCTCTCCTTGTTTGCGCCCGGTCCCGTTGGGTCCCAAGGGTCCCGCTTGGTCCCAAGGGTCCCACGTAGGTCTCAACCAGGTCCCAACCAAGAGGAGTCCCTCCTGAACTTAGTTCAGTCTGTACTGTACTGAAAAACGAAATTTCAACTTCTGGCAGAACCTACAGACTACAACCGTTCAGTGATGAAAAGACAAAGCACTGTAGAAAGACTCGGCATGTATAACAAGATACTTCATTTTCCATCCATCAGGTGAGTAGGTAGATCACATGTATTCAGTCACACAATCAAGACCACAGAGGAGTAGGAAAAGAAACCCAGAGTACCCCAGCAGGACAATCAATACCATACACACATACATGGGCATCCAGTAGGTGCACGACACTTACTTGAGTGGCCTTGAGTTCCGAGATGAAGAGAACTCACCCCCCTTCGCATGTGGTCCTCCTGACCCATCTAATGCTACCCATACACTAGTGTCCTATCTCCTAGGAGGGTCTGACTCCAACACCAAAGTGCAACGCCGGATCCCCCGTCGATGCTGTAGAACAAAGTAGCAACTTGCAGTTCGCTGATGCAGAATGGCCGCTGACCCTCAAGCTCGCCTACTTGAGGGCAGCCCTTAAGTTGCCAAGTGTCTCCGTTGAATCAGATTCCAGGTGCGAGTGCCTCTCACTGTCGCCTCTCTCAAATCGCCGCATGAAG